CCCTTCACCTCTAGTCTGCTCTTCACCTCTAGTCTGGGTCCCTCAGAAGGGTTTGGATATCCCTAGTGTTCAGAACACCAAAAACCAAGCAGTCTAATGCCATGGTCAGCAAACTGCGGCTCGTGAGCCACATATGGCTCTTTAGCCCCTTGAGTGCGGCTCTCCCACAGAATATCACGGCCTGAGTGAGTCTATTTTGAAGAAGTGGCGTTAGAAGAAGTTTAAATTTAAAAAATTTGGCTCTCAAAAGAAATTTCAATCGTTATATTGCTGATATTTAGTTCTGTTGATTAATGAGTTTGCTGACCACTGGTCTAGTGCATATTATTACAGAAGTCTCATAAGAGTAATAGTCATGTGTAAAACAATCTGAAATATGTTAGGGACAAATGTAAAGAGAGGCACTCAGAGAATCTGGCCTAACAGCAGGCATGTAGTAAAGACATAAGAATATCAGTTTCCTGACATCCCAGTATAAACCAGCAATATCACATCCCCCGAAGAGTCCTAAATGCTGCTGCAGAGGTGGGAGAGGCTCCCACCACTGCCGCTGTGCTTGCCAGCTTCTGGCTGAGCAGCGCTCCCCCTGTGGGAGTGTACTGACCACCAGGGGGCAGCTTCTGTGTTGAGCATCTGCCTCATGGTGGTCAGTGTACAGCAACCGGTCATTCTGCTGTTCAGTTGATTTGCATATTAGGGTTTTAGTATATAGGATTTTAAAAGGTACTCATAGTTGTATAACCACTCTGTGAGTTAAACTAAAGTTATTAATATTTCATTCCATTGAAGGCCTAGAAGGTGACTGGTATGTAAATAGGAAGCAGAATCAGAAAGGTTAAATGACTTGTCCAAGTTGACAAGACCAGTAATTAAAGTCCTATGATTCTGATGTCATCATTCTTTTCATTACACTATGATGTCTCATTAACTCATATTTGGTCTATTACTGTAAATTCTTAGGGGTTTCTTTGCCTCTTCTCTGTTTTATATTGCATATCACTATCAGACTAAACACAGCTTTTATTAAAAGATATCACAATAAAGAAATTTCCAATGGTTTCCAATTGTATAGAGAATAAAAATCAAAACTTCATCTCTGCTTTGGCCCATTAAACATACCTTGAAATTTCTTGAGATAATGCCATTGATGTGAGAGAGAGACATCCATTGGTTGCCTCCTGCACACACTCCAACTGGGGCTGGGATTGAACCTGCATCCCAGGTAGATGCCGTTGATTGGGAATCAAATCCAAGACCCTTTACTGTGCAGGCCAATGCTCAAACCACTGAGCAACACCAGCCAGCGCAATGTTTGTTTTTAACAGTATTTTCCTTATTTGAGTTACAAATGCCTAAGAGTTACTGCAGGGAACGTGGACATTTATTATATATTATATATAAATAATATGTATGTAACATATGTAAATACATTATATTTATTACATACTTATAGTTTATAGACTATATATCTATCTATCTATCTATCTATCTACACACACTATTACCTATGTGTTTTGATGGAGAGGAGGCAAGAAGCATCTAGTAAAATTTCTGACATTGAAAATGAGTCCTCACCCTGCTGGAGTGGCTCAGTTGATTGTCATCCTATGTACCCAAATTTTGCAGGTTAGATTCCTGGTCAGGGCACATACCTGAGTTGCTGGTTTGATCCCTAGTCAGGGTGAGGAGAGGCAACTGATTGATGTTTCTCATATCAATGTTTCTCTCCCTCTTCCTCTCTAAAATCAATAAAAACATGTCCTTGGGTGAGGATTAAAAATCCTAATATATAAAAAGATAGGGGCCGTCACAACCAAAACGACTGGACAACTGAACAGCAGGTGGACGGGGGGGGGGGGGGGGGATCTGCAGTGGGGACAGGACTGTGGCAGAGTCCTCTCCGCATGCCTGTGCTGGAGGTCTGGTTCAAGTCCTGAATTGTGAGAGGGTGAGTGAGAATGACATAGGCTAAGGGACCAGCAGGGGTTAGTGGGGGTGGAGTAGATCTTGGATGAGCAGGGAGGTGAGGCTGAGCAGAGGGCAGAGCCCTGGCCAGGAGGGTAAGGCAGCCGCCTCTCCATGCACCTGCGCCAGGGGTGGTTCAAGTCCCAGATTGTGAGAGGAGGAATGAGAATGACATAGGCTAAGGCAGTGGTCCACAAACTCATTAGTCAACAGAGCCAAATATCAACAGTACAATGAAAATTACTTTTGAGAGAATTTTTTAAACTTCTTTTAACGTCACTTCTTCAAAATAGACTCACCCAAGGATGTGGTATTTTGTGGAAGAGCCACATTCAAGGGGGCAAAGAGCCGCATATGGCTTGAGAGCCGCAGTTTGCTGACCATGGGCTAAGGGGGTTAGTGGGGGTGGAGGCGATCCTGGATGAGCAGGGAGCTGAGGCTGAGCAGAGGGGGATGAGGCCTGTGGTCTGGGTAAGGCAGCCATAGGAGGGATTAGTCCAGAGTATGGCACAGGACTTTGGCGTTGTAGAAAGAATAACTTCAGCCATCAAGGATCAAACTGTACACCCCAAATGCTTTTTCTTGGATGGTCCAGGTGGTAGTGGAAAAACATATCTTTATAAAGTTTTAGTACATTAGAGGTCGTTGTGGTACTGTTTTATCCAGTGCATCTACAGGATTTGCTGCAAATTTACTTCTCAGTGGAAGAACCTTTCATTCCCAATATAATTTACCAATTCCATTAAATTAAACTTTAATTTCTAGGTGATAGAGTGAAGTTGCTAAAACCATTAAAAAGGCCCAACTTCTCATTGACGAATTCACCATGGCATTCTATATTCATGCTATAAATGCCATAGACAGATTACTAAGAGAAATTATGAATTTGAATGTTGCATTTAGTGGGAAAGTTCTTCTTCTCAGAGGGGATTTTTGACAATGTCTCAGTATTGTACTGTATGCTATGCGATCAGCTATAGTACAAATAAGTTTAAAGTACTGCAGTGTTTGAGGATGTTTCAGTAAGTTGTCTCTTAAAACAAAAATGAGATCAGATGATTCTGCTTATAGTGAATGGTTAGTAAAACTTGGAGATGGAAACTTGATAATTTTCATTTAGAAGTGGATATTATTGAAATCACCTTGAAATGATTTGTAACAGATTTATTATTAAAACTTTGGAAATAGTATATCGATAATATTAAAAAATATATCTGAACATGTGATTCTTTGTCCAAAAAATGAGCACATTCAAAATTTAAATGAAGAAATTTTGGATATACTTGATGGAGATTTTCACACCTATTTGAGTGATGATTCCATTGATTCAACAGATGATGCTGAAAAGGAAAATTTTCCCATTGAATTTCTTAATAGTATTACTCCTTTGGGAATGCCGTGTCATAAATTAAAATTGAAAGTGGATGCAATCATCATGTTACTGAGAAATCTTAATAGTAAATGGGGTCTTGGTAATGGTACTAAATTTATTATCAAAAGATTGTGACCTAACTATCAAAGCTGAAGTATTAACAGGATCTGCAGGAGAGGTTGTTCTGACTCCACTAACTGATTTGTCCCCATCTGACACTGGCCTCCCATTTAAATTAATTCGAAGACAGTTTCCCGTGATGCCAGCATTTGTGATGAATATTCCTACTCTATCCAGAGTTTGTCCTTATGATTTATTAATAATAAACCACCAGGACAAACTCTGGACAGAGTAGGAATATTCCTACCTGAACCCGTTTTCGCACATGGTCAGTTATATGTTGCTATCTCTCAAGTTCAAAGAATGTGTGATGTTAAAGTTGTAAATACTTCATCCCAAAGGAAATTAGTCAAGCATTCTGAAAGTATTTCACTCTTATGTGGTATACAGGGAGATATTAGAATAAATTTATTAGTCATTGTATCAATGTTATTTTTACATGTATTTGTTGTTTTTATGTCAAGTCTTTGTTGTTATATGTTGTGATTGTTTATAAATAAATTTATATATTATTTTTATATACTAATTTTCTTTCATCTCTGACACTTCTATTATAAAGGACAAATAGCAATATTAAAATATTTCCTCTAATTAATTTCCTTTTAATGTGCACGAATTTCATGCAGTGGGCCACAGTTCTACAATATATATATTGATCTGGATAGTGGTCAGATCACATTGCACATTTGGCACTTGATCATTATGTCATCTCTCTTAACTGAAGTATATACATTTTAATTCCTTTAAAGAAAAACTTAGAAGCCTTATGAAACTCACTCAACACAGCTTATGTCCTTGTCAAAATCACAAAGCCTCTAAGAGACAAATATTTAATGGCATTCTCCAAGCTTTTCTTACCCTAATGTGCCTCCCTTCTAACCGATATCTATCTCAACCATCTCCTCATGGTCTCTATGTGTGAGCAGAGATTAAAGGTAACTGCCAACAAAACAGAGGACAAGGATGTTTGAGATCATTATATTCAGGATAAGCTCTAGATTAGGGGTGTCGAACTCAATCAGAGAAGGGGCCAAAATCTAAAATCCAGCCTAAATCGCGGGCCGAATGGTTTACTGAACTGTCATTGTGATGGAAACGCAGCGGAGTGCAGTGATGACAGCGCGGTGCGGGCCACATTGCAAGGCCTGGCGGGACAGATTTGGCCCGCGGGCCTTGTGTTTGACACATGTGCTCTAGATCCTTTTTCCACCAAACCAAAGTACGGAAGCTCCCAAAAGGGAATCCTAATGTCAACACCAACCTTCTAATCATCACTTTGTATATCACTTTTATATTGCTCACCCTCATGAATGTGAACTGTATCTAAATATCTTCAAAGGATTTGAATTGTAATTGTACTTTGATAGTTTTGAATAGGGTGAAATGACATATAGTAAATTTATCTAGATTCCAATTAACTCTCTTACTGATGGTTATTTAGCCCATGACAATCACAAATTTAAATTTAAACAATCTAATGAAAAGCTGCTTTAAAAAGATTACTTCCCTTTCTCACTTTAAAATGAAAGTACAAAAGAAAAAGTAAAAAATGAACCGTATTTATTACAACTGGCTGTTAATATTAAGTCCTACAAAATGAAAACTGGACCATGCGCAGTTTTCGGTTCCTTACGTTGTTGGCAACTGAAATTCAGAACTGGTATGAGGGACTGAATTAAGATACAGGATAGACAACACTCAGTCAGCAAGCACATTACTTCGTATATTTTACATCAAAACATGAAAAAAAAGTCACGTCAAGGAAGGTGTTTGAAGAGAGTGAAGCTGTCTCCTTACGCCCCTCAATTTTTTTTAAAAAAATGTTAACTAAAATTGAGAGATCTTTATGGATACTTCAGATGGTATCACAAACCCTGCAACAAAATATAAAAGAAACCCTAAGGCTTTATGTTCTTTTATCACGTTCCCAGTTTTAGTTTCCCGAACAAAGATCTGATCTGCAGAAGGAACGGACAGGCCTGTCTCAGTGGGAAGAGCCTCGGGCCTCGGAGAGGAGGTGCAGGGCTGCACCAGGAAGCGTTTCAGTTGAGGTGGAACACACTAGCTGCTTTTTAAAAACCGGGCGTGCAGGTGAGGGAGCGGGAAAAGGCCCCGCGGAGGTGGGGTCCTCTGGGTGAGGATGCGTTCATGGAGCACCAGCCTTCCCCTGGGGAGGAGGCCGGCAGGGAGGAGGGTGGCAGAAGTAGAGAGCCTTCGGGGGAGCCACTTTTGAAAGGCGCTTTCAGATTACGAAGCGCACTCACAGGCTTTATGTCCTCCGACACAAAACCCTTTGGCTCACCTCCGGCGTCTACAGACGTAACTGGCCCCTCGCGAAGGACCGCTCCCAGTCCGGGCCCGAAGGGCCACTGCGGACCCGGTTCGCGGCTCCGAGCCCGCGGCCGCGCGCGCCCCCTCGGCGTCCAATAGGCGCGCACGTCACTCGCCCGCTGCCAATGGGCGCCGGGCAGCCCGCCGCCCGCCTCTCGCCTCTGCTCTCGGCGCAGGCGCCGCCGGGGCTCGGGGCTGGGGAGGAGCGGACGCTGCCGGTGAGGATGGTGCTGGAAAGCGTCGCCCGCATCGTGAAGGTGCAGCTCCCCGCGTACCTGAGGCGGCTCCCAGTCCCCGAGAGCATTAGCGGGTTTGCCCGGCTCACAGGTAACCCCCACCTTCAGGCCCGGCCCATCCCCGTGCGCGCCCCCAGGAGGCGTCTAAAAATCCGCGGGCCGAGGGCCGGGGCGGAGCTCGGCGAGTGGCGCGTGACCCCGTGACCCTGCGGCGCGTCGGCGCAGCCGCCGAGGGTCCCGTGCGCTGCTTCTGGGACCGGGCGGCCAGGCTCGGGGGCTCGTCCTCCCCGCTGTCCCCGTGCTCTTCCCGGGGAGATGTTTTTTCCCAGGGAATTGGGGAGCGGGCACCTGGCTCATCGTCCATCGCCATCGCCCTGTGGGCTGCTTGTTTTGTATCCCAGCCGCCGTGTGTGTGTGTGTGTGTGTGTGTGTGTGTGACATACACCGTATGTATAATACAGCTTTATTTAGTAAAAAAGTTAGAAATAGTCTCGTTCCCGTAGGGGGAGATGACCTGTCATGGGGCCATTTGAGGTCGCCCCCTGTTACCGTGGGCCTGGAGGCGGTTGTGATAACAAGTTGGAGGAAAGGTACATCAGCCAAAAAGGGTTCTAAAGCTAGCACGGTGGTCCGGATTTTAGAAAATGAAATTTAATTTCTATATGTAACATTATGTACTTACAAATAAATAAGTAGCTCACAATGCAGATTTCAAATCTAAAGGATGACATTTTCCAGAATGCAGGCAACACTTGGTAGATTTTGTTGAGTCTGAGTATTTCTGTGTGGGGTATTTGTAAACCAGACTGAGTGATTAGGATGTTGATTCGGCCAGAATTGGACTCTTGTTCTGAGTATCAGGATGTTAAGCATGTTTAATAATTTTGAGGTAAATAGGCTTGTTTAGCTTGTAGCAGTCTAGAGGTCTATGTTAACTGACTTAAAATGCAGCATTTGGAAGCCTCACTGGAAGATTTATTTTGTGTAGACCAAAAGACAACTAGGACTAATTTAGTGAAAATTATTTGGAGATGATTTCAGCTCCACTACAAGGAAGCTAAAACATTTTTTAATTAAGGAAAACTTTCCCCAAAAAAGTGATTTGGGAGATTAAAATAATAGTAATACATAAAAAGCAGAGTCTGGTGGGCATATAGATTTAGAGATCTTTGAGTTGTGGACAGAGTTCTGTAGATAAATGATTGTGAGATATTAACATTCTAGATGTTAAAGGATTTGGTAGAAAGCTTGTAATAGATTTAATGAAAACCCTGGTAATCAGATAATAAATATTAAACTTCTGAATATCAGAAGCCACATAAAAGTAACATAAAATGGTAAAACTATTTCAAATAAAGTGTTTATAAACATCAAAGTCTTATTTTGGTCCAAACAGTTTACTGGTATCTCGATAGAATTGCAGCAATTACGTAAAATCGTGTTTTTTCCCCTTTAATTATTTCTTTTACTTAAGCACTTTACTTATTTTTATGTATTCCTCATCTTGTTCTAACAGCTATTTGATCTTATTTTAGATTAACATCACAGTAGGCCTAACCATTCCCCTGCAACTGGAAAATTTGAATGTTTATATAAATATAAATATATGTATCTTTCATAATGATCAGTAGTAAGTAGCCCTCTACCAATACCAATTTTTTTTTAATTATACCTTAGGTATAATAATGACAGGTCAAAAGGATGTTACATTTTGTGACATTTGTTCCCAGTTGCTAACTTACTTTTTTAATATTTGCATAAGTTAACTGCTGAATTTTTAACAGTTAAGAAAAAAAAAAAAAGCCCTCTTACTCCTACCCCAATCCTGAATTATATGTGTTAATTCTGATGATGGATGGTAAGTACAGTGTTTTGTTTTTTTTTAAAGGATCCCTCTTGTCAACAAATATTTAATTACTTTACTATTAAAGGCATTAAGAAAACTCAACCTAAGTCTCTCCTTAAATCAATAATATATAGTAACTTCCTCTTTAAACCTTTAAATATTTAATTCAAGGATTGATTCTCAGAAACAATGACAACCCTGGTAAATATCTTTATAGTACATACTTAAGTCTCATTACAGTGTGTCTAGTTGTTTTTGTATTGCTTTTTTGTTTAGGAAACAAACATGTTTTTAATAGCTGCTTTATGAAAAGGGGGGGAAAAAAGTAGTCTGTTTCACTCTGGACAATGACACTGTAACAGTTGCAGACTCTGTTTTGAAGGCATTGAGGACAAGCAGTTTCCACTCTGAGTCTGCCCTTAAGAATCGAATGTAATAGCTAGTGACATTTGGCTCCCTTGAATGAGCTACTTAGAGAATCATACTTAGACTTTGTTGAAATAAAAATCTGAAAGGTAACTTTTCAGCAATTGTGTAAATGTCTAGGAGTCCAAAAGTATTTTCATTTTCTATCTATGACAATTAAGGCAAAAAAAAAGGTTACAGTTCACATTGTTGCCTGTTTTCCTTCCCTATTTAGATACAGCGGTTTAAAAAAAATGACTCTCATGATGACTCTGCATTCTTAGTAAATACTTGGAGATCCTTAATTACCCATTATCATGTAGTATTTACGGACAATCCTTACTTACCAGAGACGACTTATCTATTTTAGTTTAGGTCACATTTTTAAGACAGGCTTTTAAGATAAATTTATATGATTTTTGCCCTTTGAAAGTATAGTGTATCCTAATACTTTGACCTTTCAAAAGCTTTCCCTGTCATATAAACTTTTAAAATAGAACAATGAAAAACATCTTCCCATTCTAACGTCAGAAAACTACTCCTAGATCTAAAAGCTAGCTCGCTCAGTGGTAGAGCGTCGGTCTGTGGACTGAAAGGTCCCAGGTTCGATTCCGGGCAAGGGCATGTACATTGGTTGCGGGCACATCCCTGATAAGGAGTGTGCAAGAGGCAGCTGGTCGATGTTTCTCTCTCATCGACGTTTCTAGCTCTCTATCTCTCTCCCTTCCTCTCTGTAAAAAATCAATAAAATATATTTTAAAAAAATAAAAAAAATAAAAAAAATAAAAAAATAAAAGCTAGCTCTTAAATTTTAATATAGTTGTTCTTTCCCACTTAAATTAGTTTGCTTTAAAAGAAATGGTTTTGCTCCTAAAGGCAACCCCCCCCCCACACACACACACATACACACACAGTGAAACAGCTTTAAGGGCTTTAGCTCTATCTAGAAAGGACCAATTTTGAACAGAGAATTTAGAAGTGGGCCAGGGTTAATAACATATTTCCACAAGAAGACATAGAACATGTTCATAGTAGCCATGTTTATAATAGTCCCAAACTGGGGGCAATCCAAGTATCTACCAACAGGAGGATGGATAAACAAATTATGGTATATTCAGAGTGAAATACTGGTTAACAATGAAAAGGAATGAATTACTGATCCACTGATGAATCTCAAAAACTATAATGAGTGAAAAAAGCTTAGGTTATATAAATCAGTTGTGGAAGATAGACTAGAAAGGGGCAGGAGAATACTTCCTGGGGTGATAGAAATATTTTACACATTTTCAGCATAGGCTACAGGGTTGTATTGAATTGTCACAACCCAGAGCTAAACAAAAGTCAGTTTATTATATTTAAATTGTACCTTAGTTTTTTCTTTAAAAAAATGAACCCAAAGTGAGTTTTCTCAATAGGAAGGTATAATAAAACATTAATTTCCAACAAAAGGTTGCATTTATTAATAAAATAATAAAAGTTATTTCTGAAATATTGAATTTTATTTCAGAAAACTTTTTTTTGAGAACTCAGGAAAATATTTACATAGTTACTGTAAGTTATAAATGTCCCTCTCCCCCCATTAGACCAACTATAGTTAAAAGTAAGTTTAATTAAAGATGATATTAGTTAGCCTTTGTAGAGGACAATTTTGATCTCATTGAAACATTTTCTTTCATATAACTATTTTGCAATTTAAAATTCCTCAAGTCATCAGATATTTATTGAGTACTTACTATGGGCCAGGTAGTGTTCTTAAAACAATGACTCTGTTCTGTTCATAATAGTGGATGGAAAAAAAGATTTAAAACTTGATTATTTTATTTTATTTGCACTTAAGTCTTGAATAGTCTGTATTAGGTTCGAAGGTGTATGGTAAAGCCACCCATTGAAAATATTTTATGTTTATCTTTCTGAAGTTCAGAAATAGAAGTCATTTATGTGGCTTACTTGTAAATGATACATAAGAAAACAATATATAAAATTACCAGCAACCAAATTGCAATATTATTTTTATGGTAGCATATGCAACCCTTTGAAAGGGCAAAAACCCCCACAAAAATCCGCTAGTTTCTTAGAATATAGTTCTTCATTAAGACCCATGTGTGTCTGTCTGTATATACTTTTAAAAATGTTTTTGGCATTCAATTTGTTTATATGTCTTGATCAAGAATAGGGTGTGATAGCTAGCCCATCTACATAAAAGGTTGAATATATCCCCTCTTAATTTTATTTCTTCTGAGATAATTTCTTTTAACAATATCTAAAATTTCAGAAAATTGGTGTTATAAAATTGCTTGCTACTCAAGTTGCTTTTAAATAGTCTCTCTAGATTTTGTTTTTCTAATAGTGCTGATTCTTTTACTTGACCTTTTTAATCTTATTGTTTATCTTAATAATGGGAAATAGAATATAAAATGAGTATTAGAACCATGCTCAGTATTAATAATAAGTGTGTCTGATTTATTTTCTTTTCTAAAATATTAGAAACAGGTGATTTAAAAAAATTGGAAAAACCAATGGACGAAAAACTTGGGGGATGGGCAATGGAAAGATATGTACACATATAATACCTTAATAATAATAATAATAAATTGGAGCCTGGCTGGTGTGGCTTAATTGTTCAAGCACTGTCCCATGCACTGAGAGGTTGCCACTTGGATTCCAGGTCATGCTTAGATTGTGGGCTCAATCCCTGTGTGAGGTGTGCAGGAGGCAGCTCTAATGCGCGCGCGCTCTCTCGCTCTCTCTCGCTCGCTCGCGCACGCTCTCTCTCTCTCTCTCTCTCAGTGGGTGTCTTTTACTATCTTTCCCTGTGTTTGTGGGATGAGGGACCAAGGCAGTTGGCATCTTTTAGGCACTGCAGAGCTGCTTCCACATTGGAATTACTTTACTTTCCTTCAAAGAAAACTGTGTCTTCTTCCCTCCATCATTATCCCCTTTTGCTGGTATCTGTTGAACTTTAGTCTCTTCCTTACATTTTTTAAGGATGTTGATATCCTATTTTTTCCTTTCCTTTCCTTTACAATACTGCATGTTCTTCTCATGTTAAAGCTGCCCTTCATGTGTGTGTGTGTGTGTGTGTGTGTGTGTGTGTGTGTGTGTGTGTGTATATATATGTATTTAATTGAGGCCAGTACCTTCATACATCCAGATAATGAAACCAGAAATCTGGGAATCATGAAGAAGCTTCACTTCCTGTATTTACCTCATGATTCATACTTTTAGTCAGTTACCAAATCCTATTGATTTGAACTCCCTGTGCTAGCAGGTCTATGTTTCCAGGTGAGTGAGGGTTGATCACAGACCCACACTGAGATCCCAATAAAAGCTGTACACCATTTCCTCAGAAAATGCACACACAAGCACATCCACTATTATATTAGTCCTCTCTTTGCTTAATGGCCACTGCCTTAGTTTCAGCTCATGTTATTTTCTCTAGCCCTCTCTGCTTTTCCTTAATGTTTCTCACTAATCCATCTTCCATCTAATACCAATGTAATTTTATAAATGAACAATTTTTCAGTTACACTAATATTCAAATATTTCAGTGGTTCCCTTTTATGTTAGGACCTTCCATAGTCTGGCACTGGCTCATTTTTACAGTCCTCTTTCATTATATCCCAGCAATATTGTAGCACTTAGTTTCCTAAACTTTTCATATATGTCATATCTCTGTGCCTTTGCCTCTTCTGTTTCCTCTGTGTAGATGTGGCTCCTCTTCCCCTCTGCCTATATTTAGTCACTTTCAGAAACCTGTTTAGGTATCAAATCCTCCTCTTTGTTCAACCCTATCAAGAGTTAACCACTTTGTCACTGTGTTGCCTCCTCGTGAATACACATAGTACACAGTGCTATTATTCTTTTTATAGATCTGTATTCCATCCTAGGTGGAAAGCTCTTTTGGGGTAGGAACTGGACCGTGTCTTCTAATCTTTTCTAAAATGTATAACCTATAAGAGCAGGAACCTTATCTAACCATCAGCTGTATCCCCAGCACCTAGTGCAGTATTTGAAATGTGGTGGGTACTTGTGTTGTTGAACAAATAAATGAATTATTGTTATTCCTATTTTACAGACCAAAGAAACCTGGCTCCAAGTTTATGAAAATCTGGATTTATACAACAAATAAATTGTGAATTAGTTACTTGAAATCCTGCTCTATGCCAGGCACTGTAGTAAACACTGGGTATCTACAGACAAATAAGTCAGCTGCTGCACTTACATTTAGCACAGTATCTCCACATCGTAGGTACTTAATAATTATTTAGTAAAAAAGTGGAAAAATTATTTAACAATAGTATATTGATCAGATTTCTTCACTCAGAAATATTTCTTAAGCATTTAAATTGATGAAAGAACCCAGAAAGAAGGGATTGTATAAGAGCAAACTTTCTAGAATGATAGAAATACCCTATATTTTGATTTAGGTGGTGTTTGCAGGTCTATATAGTTGAAAAAATTATCAAGTTGAACACTTAACACACATTGAACAGGCTGAACACAAAGTTAAGCCTCAATATAAAATAAAATAAATTGAGCCAAGCATTATTTACACACCAAGGAGACAGTGGTGATGCAGACAAATCAGGCCCCTGTCCTTGTAGATCTTCTGTTGTGACGCGGGATATGATAGTTGGATATAGCCATTAAAGTTCATGTTACTAAAGGATACTAAAGAATTGGAAAATGTTTCTGATATAATATTAAGTGAAAAAATTATATAGACTGTATGGTCTATATCGTATGGTATCAATCTTGCTTTTTGTTTTTTAAGTATTTAAAGCATATCTTAAAAAAACACCCCAGAACATAGAAATATAAATGTTATTCTTGACTGGGGGGATTGAAAGTTACTTTTTTATACTCTAAATTTAAAAAAATAAATCCTATTTTTTATAATCTTAAAATAAAAATATACTGTACAAAATATGCATTATACCTAATAATAGGTAACAGTTTTTCCTTCATAGTATCGAAAATACCTGTAATAGCACAACGTATTTCAAACAAGTTCATAGGAAGTAGCTGGTCTTAAAAGTTTTTGTTTGATTTTTCTGTATTTCATATTTCTTTACTAAAATCAGCATTAATAAAGTAATTTTTAATTGAGCTTGATAGGCTGTATTATTTTTCTTTATAAAGCTCTTTTGTAGTTAAAATGAAGTTTATAATTAAGAAGCAGATTATACTAAAAATCTTACATAAGTTATTTTGTTGTCGGAGATAGTACAACCTTTCTTTACTATATATTACTGTTTTCGACCAGTGTGCTACAAGAATTTTTAAAACATGCAATAACTGACTAGTCAGGAATACTGACCTCTTTTCCTTAGATTGTAACCCTCCCCCCCCCAAAAGAAAAAACCCACCAGCCAATACAACAATAGTTGTCCAGTGTGAATAAATCAAAATGACACTCTTGCCCTAGCCAGTTTTGCTCAGTGGAGAGAGCGTTGGCCTGCAGACTGAAGGGTCCCCGGTTTGATTACGGTCGAGGGCATATGCCTGGGTTGCAGCTCGATCCCCAGTAAGAGGCGTGCAGGAGGCAGCTGATCAGTGATTCTCTCTCATTATTGATGTTTCTGTCTTCCCTCCTCTCTGAAATCAATAAAAGTATAGATATTTAAAAATCTATGTTAAGGTTTTCATCTTTACATTCTTTTGTTCTTGTTTTTTCATTCCCATCTTCACTTTATTTACTTTTTTTTTCTTGCTTTCTCCCCCATTCATTGACTTTTTGACTGAGTTATTTAACCTCTTTTGACTTTTTAATTTTGTAATATATAGTAGTATGATAATGTTATTCTACATTCAACAAACATCTATTCAATAACTATTTCAAGATACTGTACTGGATGTTGGGGCTAATCCTATCTAATAAAAGAGTAATTATGCAAATTAACCATCACTCCACTATACCCACAAGCCATGCCCACAAGCCATGCCCACCAGCCAATCAGAGCGAGTATGCAAATAAACCCAACCAAGAAGGGAGGCTTGGGTTTGCCCAGCAACAGAGGTAGCCAAGATTTCCACACACCCTGGCAGGCCCTGGCTCCGCTCCAGGCTACAAAGTTTCAATTGTAGAAGGTAAATAAATCCCAGATACCAGGGCCTCCGTTTGGGTTGCCAGGGGGCGTGGCTGGCCTGCAAACCACCACAGGCCCCTCACCCAGGCCACCTCATGTCCCAAGGGAACCCCACCCTGATCCAGGACACCCTTCAGGGCAAATCAGCTAGCCCCCACCCATGCACCGGATCTCTATCCTATCTAATAAAAGAGTAATATGCAGATTGACTGTCACTCCAACACTCAAGATGGCTGCCCCCATGTGGACACAAGATGGCCAGCAGGGGAAGGCAGTCAGGAGGGACCAGGCCTACAAGGGAGGGCAGTTGGAGGTGATCAACCCTGCAGGGGAGGGCAGTTAGGGGTGACCAGGCTGGCAGAGGAGGGAAGTTAGGCAAACAGGCTGGCAGGGGAGCAGTTAGACATTAATCAGGGTGGCATGGGAGTGGTTAGGGTGATCAGGCTGGCAGGCAGAAGCAGATAGGGGCAATCAGGAAGGCAGGCAGGTGAGCAGTCCTGGATTGTGGGAGGGATGTCCAACTGCCCTTTTAGGCCTGATCCCACCGAGGGGTCCCAGACTGGAGAGGGTACAAGCTGGGCTGAGGGACAATCTCCCAGCCCCCATGCACGAATTTTGTGCACCAGGCCTCTAGTATTCATATAAGGTAATTGCCTGATCTAGAAAATAAGTGTAAATAAATACTTTAATGTGATGAATAAGAAAGGGACTGTCATTTATACTCTACATTATTCATTCAGTAAGTCATTCATTAAACATTTTTTTAGAAGCCTACTTTGTTCCAGAAGAGTAGTAGCACTGCTCTTCTTCTTACAGGCTTATGGAAGACAGCTTTATAAATAGATAACCATTTATACTAATAAAATGGTAATATGCTAATTAGACCAGATAGACCGGACATCTTTCGGATGACCTTCCAAACATCCTGACTATCTCCCAGGGCCAGGGCTGTGCTGCCTGAGGTCCCAGGTGCCTGCAGCCGTCCCGAGTGGCATTGCCCAGAGGAGGGAAGCCTGGGTCTTGGGTGCAGAGGCTGAGGCAGAGACAGGGGCAATTAGGCAGGCAGGCAAGTGGTTAGGAACCAGCGGTCTGGATTGTGAGGATGCAGGACGGGCTGAGGGACCCCCATCATGTGCATAAATTTTGTGCACCGAGCCTCTCTATATATAAAAGCTTAAGCAATCATCCAACCAGACACACAATGACCACCAGGGGACAGATGCTCAACGCAGGAGCTGTAGAGCTGCAGTGACTTGGCAGCTGCGTTCTCAGGTGATGCACCCAGAACCAGAGATGTCAGCCGGTTTCAGCCCCATCTCCGCAGGCCTGGCCTAGGGATCCATGCACCTGGCCTCTAATAGTGTGATAAAAGAACATGAGGAAAAGGTCTTGGGAACACGTTAGGAAGTGATTAATTTTGCTTTGTGAATTAAAGACTTCTGGAGGAGGCAGTAGTTGATCTTAGTCTTAAAGCGTTTACCCAAATGAGCCAAAGATTAGAGATAGGCTTGGCAAACAGAAGGACTTATGGTACTCATGCAGAGAACACGAAGACTGCTACTTGGTAACAGCTTTGGGGTGGCTTCAAGCACTTAAGTGATGAGATGTTTGTGAGATGAAGCTGTCAAAGTAGCCTTGCCATGCTATAGAGTTGTGCTTATAGAAACAATGGTTTATTGCAGCACCATCCAAAAAATTTTTGTGATGATGGAAATCTCTGTGCTGGTAACTTCAGTAGCAATTTAGGCACATGTGTGGCTGTTAAGCTGCTGAAATGTGACTAATGTGTCTTAGAAACTGGATTCTGAGTTTTACTTAATTTTAATTATTTTAATATTCACACCTGTGTTTTAATTATTTTTTTTACTTTGTGTATTTTATGATGCTTTGACATCTGGGGCCCTTTTTGGCCTTGGAGAACCTGCCCCTCCCAGGACTAGCTAATTCCCAAAGATAATAAACAACTTCCCTGTGGAGCTCACCTTTCATATGCAAATCAACCAATCCAAAGCTTATACCTTACCCTACCACCTGAATCTAAATCACCCACCAGGATTTCCCTTACCCCAAATCACCCTGAGTCAGGCATGAAACAACTAGACCATCTCAATAGCTGAGAGCCCACTGAAATTATTCACTCCTAAACTGTTTACTCTGCCCCACCTTACTGTTTCCTGGAAGCCACAAAAAAGACTTGTGCCCAAGCTTCCCTGCCATCTTCCACCTGATCAACTCTGGTACTTTCCCCTGTGTCCTGTGTGGCATGGTATGTCCCCTCCTATTGGTAACTGTAAGTAATAAGCTTTTCTTTCAAGGCAGTTGTGTCTCTGTCAACAAAATCTCCGGTACGAATCAAAGCAGTCTGGCTAGTGGCTACTAGGTATATTGTACAGCACAGATATATCGTATATTATAGATAGGCCTGTCCCTCCCAAGAAGCGGTTCTTATTCATTTCTAGAAGTTTAATTAATGAAAGGATCTGTATGGAATGTTTCCACTTTGGTTATGAAAATAGAATAGCCAGCATGACAGGTAAGATCCTTATCCTCACAAAGCTTCATTTTGGTGACTAAAAGATTACACCCTCTGCCATTTCTTCCATTTCTTCCTACTAAATATTTTTACATAGTGCTTAGAAAAGGACCCGATAGGCCCTGGAGGAAGGATGTCAAATGATAACTCTGTAAGGACAGAAAGGATTCCCTGGACACTAACCAATATTTGACAAGAACATGCTAAAATGTTTATCTTACTTTCGGTGTGTTTATGTCACTTTTATTTCCTGTGCTCCAGAATGATGCTGAGAACTAAAGAAGGCACTTGAAGAACACTTATGGAATAAGATGTATCTAACAATGAGAATATTTCATATACAAAAATTTTAATTAGTTTTTTAAAATAGTAGCTTTTACACAACATCTAGTGTTTCTTTAGGAATCACTATGCCTTACCAAAAAATGTAAAGCATTGAAACTAAAAAGTTAAAACATGTTCTCTCTGAAACTATGTATGAATGGTAAAGTACAGATATTCTGTTGTATGCTTTTAAATATTGTAGAGATATTTTCTAAACCTCTAAAATATATCACATATTGAATTCGGTTTATAATTATGGGTCATATTTCTTGAAAAGTAAATAATGATAAACATGAATATATTAGGATTATGACAGAATATTTGATGTAGGACCTCTCTCTGAAAATTTTGTTTTCCGTTTCACAAGTCTCAAATGAGCCCACAAATGAAACAAGGCAGTTCTCGGTAAAGGCGGCTTGACTGACTGATTCATGGTCTCAAAGATAAATATTTAAGAAAGTAAAGAAAAGTAAAGAATAATCTGCTCGAGGATGAGACATGCTATTGGGAATTCTACTGCGAGAGCACTGCAGACTGACACATGTGCATGTTTAGTTTCAGAATGGCTTCGGTTATTGCCTTTCCTGGGTGTGCTTGCACTACTTGGCTACCTTGCAGTTCGTCCATTCCTCCCAAAGAAAAAACAACAGAAGGATAGTTTGATTAATCTTAAAATACAAAAGGAAAATCCCAAAGTGGTGAATGAAATAAACATTGAAGATTTGTGTCTTACTAAAGCAGCTTACTGTAGATGTTGGCGTTCTAAGACGGTAAGATGTCCATTTATATATACATTAAAATTTTGTGTGATTAAAATGTTTTCCTTCTGAAATCCTTAAGTTTGAGGTTCTGTGAGATGAGATGTATTACTATAGTGTGTGTTACTGAAAGTCTGAATTCCTAAATTAAAGTTTGTGTTTTATGATCCATACTATCTGCATCAGGAAAGTTAGAGCAGTAGGGAAGAATAAAGATCTGATGTTTTCGCAATTAGCTAAAGTAACATAGTTCAAAATACACCTATGAGAGAGGACATAGGTTTAGTGGAAGAATTTAAGCTTTGGAGTCTGAATAGTGGTTAAATCTGATGTCTGCCACTTATAGTATGACTTTGGGCAAGTTACTTAATCTTTAATCTCTGATTTTTAATTCTGATAATTTATCAACATCACATTTTCAAGGATTCAGTGAGATGATGTATGTACAGTGCTTTATATTATGAGCTAGTAAATGTCTTGATGAGATCTGTTCTACTTTAATCATAGGTTATTTGAGGTTTTACAGAGAGGAAGAGAGAGAGAGAGAGAGAGAGAGAGAGAGAGAGCGCGCACACGCACGCGCGCGAGCTAGAAACATTGATGAGAGAGAAACATCGACCAGCTGCCTCTTGCACACCCCCTACTGGGGATGTGCCCGCAACCAATGTACATGCCCTTGACCGGAATCGAACCTGGGACCTTTCAGTCTGCAGACCGACGCTCTACCACTGAGCCAAACCGGCTTCGGCAGGTTATTTGAGATTTTAAGTACAATAATGTTTATCACATCATCCTTTAATAGCAAAGTGTTAGAAACAATCTAGAATCTGATAATAGAGGAATGATTAAAGTATGGTGTAATAAAAATGATGGTGTGCCCAGCCAGTGTGGCTAAGTGGTCCAGTGTTGACCTATGAACCTAGAGGTCATGGGTTTGATTCCTAGTCAGGGCGCATACCCTGCTTTCAGGCTCGATGCTTAGTAGGTTGTGTGCAGGAGGCAATTGATGTTGATGTTTCTCATTAATTTTTCTATCTCTTTCCTTTCCTCTCTAAAATCAGTAAAAGCATTTTTTTTTTATATGATGGGGTATTAGGAATCCACTACAAATCATGTTTTGAAGAATATTTAATGGCATGAAAGCATAATACAAGACAAGTATATTACAGTTTTTTAAAAATGTTTTTATTGATTTTTTGAGAGAGAGGAATGGAGAGGGAGAGAGGAGAGAAAGGGAGAGAAATCAAAACGTGGGCATGTTCCCTAACCGGGAGTTGAACTTGTGACCTTTCTGTGCATGGGATGATGCTCAACCAACTGAGCCACGTGGCCAGCTTATTACAGTTTTTTTTTTTTTAAATAAAAACGAATACACAATAAATGCAGAGGGAAAATATGCTAAAATATTCATTGTTACCTGAGAGTGAATTTTAAAAACTATTTTAAATTTCTCAAAAATTTTATAATATGCGTTTTATATAAAGATATTATAAAAGTATTTTGAGTTTAAATTACATTCTTTTTAAATTTAAGAAAACGAATAAGTGAGTTCAAAAATTTAGAGCTCCACAGAGGAGAGCTTATTATCACCTTCTAAACATGTTTTATTGCCTCATATGGAATCATCCAAACTGTTTACTTAAAATCTACACCAAATACTGAATTAACTATTTAAAATTGTTAGGTATGAGAATGGAGTCAGGTTAGGTATAGAATACATCTATTACTCAGGCAAACTATCTGATGTGTTATTTTCGTTTTCCAAAGTAATGTACATTTCACAAATATTTCTACTTAAATCATTTAAAATAACACTTGTAATTCTTTTTCCTTTCTAGTTTCCTGCCTGTGATGGTTCACATAATAAACACAATGAATTAACAGGAGACAATGTGGGCCCACTAATACTGAAGAAGAAAGAAGTATAATAGTAATGAATTAGGATTGAATTGTGTGCTGTAAAATCTTATAATGATATCTTTTAATTTTTTGTGTATAGATCTTTCAAATGGTGGTCTTAATTACTACTAGTAGTGGAGTAATTATTTCTGCCAATTTATTTTCTTGCTACACTACTGTTTATATTTGATAGTTCATATATTCAATCATATAGAAATTAAATTGTGAACCCTTTTATTCTGACTTCAAAGAATTAATGTATTTTCCTCCAATAAAACCAACACTTCTGATTTTAACTAACTGAGGAAATATCTAAGTCTGGGCAATAGGTCCCAAACTATTTCTTTGAAAACCAATATTTTCAATAGAATATATAATTTATAATTTTCTCCCTACTCTATTAAACATATTATCTTTCCGTTTTCTTCTGTTTTGATCATTTGAAGGACTTGTTTCTTTTTCAGCCTTCCACGCGCCATTCTTTTTTAGATCAATACGAAAAACATTGCTCTTAAGGATTACTTGTATTTTCAAAGAGATAAACTCTGCTTTAGAGAGATTGTTGTCTAGTAAATATAAATATCCCAATTTCAGGGAAGATGTGAACTGGATATAAAATGTTCCAACAAGGAGCACTTATTTACATTATAAAAGTTTGTTTACTTTATAGTGGGCTTGTTTGCCTCTGTTTAGGTATATTGTGTATCTTGAACTATTTGACTCACTGACAGGGTGGGGTGGGGTGGCAAGAACACTTATATCTAAACTCATGAGCTGCTGAAATTTGAAGGTCAATGAGAAATAAACATTTTTTAAAAAGTTCAGTGGTCAAAATTGTATTTATATGAACATTTTCCTCTTTGTAACAGTGGAAGCCAATAAAACAGAATACAAAAAGTTTGCAAAATAAACTTACCAGAGTTTTAAAACTTTTGTAATTTTTAAGCGTAAGAGTCTGTTAGTTTCATCTTATACTGTATTACAGTTATTATATTATTAGCTATTCTAAGTCTGTCTATTAAAGGTAGAATCCAGTCAGCACCCTATGCCTTCATTGTAAGTGGAGAAGGTTTGGGGGCAGACATGTAACTCTTCTAATCATAAAGTTATTGAGCACTTAATGTATCAGACACTGCACTGAGCAGGGTACCTGAGATTTTAATTTATTACATGCAATGACAATAGGTTCTGTTGTGTGATCTTGACTTTCACATAACATCAGGAATTTTATTTATTTATTTATTTTTTAAATTTTTTTTTTTTTTTTTTTTTTTTTTTAATTTAACAGCAGGAATTTTAAAGTTAGGGTTAGTAATGTAGTTTTGGTTTTGAGAAGTTTTAGAAGGTATAAATCCAAAATTGTTGTTGCTCTTTCCTCTCCTCACCTGTGTGGAGAGACAAATATAAAACTGTTCTCACTTTGGTTCTGGGTATTATTTCCTGAAACCTCTTCAACAACCCTGAAGGGATTTCTCTTTCAGGTTATCCAATTATTTTCACATAGTTGATCACAAAACTGGGAAGTACCCTCCTCACCAAAAGCTTAAATAGCCTGGTCTGTGGTCATGAAATGCTCTTCTTTAAATGTTTCTCAGTAACTCACAGCAAAGTTTTAGCACATGTCCTAGTGGTTCCCATACTTAGATTTCATAGAAGAGAAAGTTTCCTAAAAATGTGGAGACTAAAATTGAAATTATTAATTTTAAATTTTGTCAAGTAAGAACATTTACAAAATTGAGAACAAATGATCTCGTAAAAGGTAATTTTAACACTCTGAAAGAAGGTATACTCTCAATAAAGTTTCCTTCCACATTTTTAATTGTTTAAATACAGTGTATGTTGAACAATTTAAATATGTTGAAGAATTATACCCAAATATTTTTCCCACCTGTGCAAATTTTTCAGAAGCCTGGGGCTGGTAGCAAGCTGTTGTTTTAATAATATTATGCATTATGATCAGTTGCTGTCACTTCCTCTTGTAAATTCACAGAATTCCATCATGTCTTCCTTTAAAAAATAGACATCTAATAAGCAACTGCATCTGAATTAATACAACACAAGATAACTTAGCTCTTGAAATACTTATCTTGGGTTTCTAAAACCTCCAAGAACAGCTCTGTTTATTAAAGTAGTCCTCATGTGATTATTTTGACTACTTCTTACCCAGGGAGCTACTCATTGCCTTACTCAGCAAATGATCACCACCATTACATAAGCAGGTGTTCAAAACTGTTGAGCAGGCTTCAGGTATTAATGATTCATTCTTATGGATAATTAAGCAAGTTGTATTATGAAAAGCACATTACAAATCAGCTTTGAATTCAATACCTCATCTGATGATTCATTAAATTGCTTTTGTATTTTGTTACCTAATTTGTTAATAAGTTTAAGCAAAGCCAATTAAGCCAACTGCTGATCTATATAGTTATACTTTCCTTATATGGTCTTCCTTTAGAAATGTGCTTTCGGATTCTTCTGCAAAGAGAGTTTTACTTTTTCAAAACTCTGTTGTTCAACAGGTTCTTAAATTATGGTGGATATTTTATTTACTAGTGACCATAAGCATCTAACTAGTTGCACTTCATTCAGATTGCAGTTGTGGCAGCATCACTAATCTGGAGAAGGCCAGGAGAGATGTACTAGTAATGCACATGTACTTTATTCAGAAATGAATGCCTCAGGTCCTCCACAGTCTCCTTTTTCTATATCACACCTGATTCTAACATGTTTGGTTATCTAATTTCTTCTGGACAAATCACAGGTATCTACAGGGTCCTGTGAGAGGTAGGGAAACAACAAAAAGTGACAGCTGACTGCAGGGGAGGAGGAAACCAAAAAGAAATTTTAATATGAAAAGCTTAGCACCTCAAGACCATTTAATAGAGGATCCTGCACACCACAGTTCCATCAAAATATACAAGTCATGTTTGATGATGAATATGAATCAAGAAAATACTATATGATGTTTAAAATATGCTTATTTTAGAAAGGAAGGGAGAGGAAGGGAAACAGAGAGAGGGAAAGAGAAAGCATTGATCTAAGAAACACCAACTGTTGCCTCCTGCACCCACAGCCTGAGTATGTGCCCTGACCAGGAATCGAACCGGTGACCTTTTGGTGCACAAGATAATGTTTAACCACATTGGCCTGGTCAATACTATATGGCATTAAGAAGGTAGGATATGTGTTGTATTTGATGATTCCAGTTTCCACTTGAAATAGTTAGTGCTTACAGTGATACATCCTGGCCCTAGCTGGTTTGGCTCAGTGGACAGAGCAATGGCCTGCAGAATTGAAGGTTCCGGGTTTGATTCTGGCCAAGGGCACATGTCCGGGTTGCAGGATCAGTACCCAGTGGGGGGGACGGGGTGTGTGTGCAGGAGGTAGCCAATCAATGATTCTCATCATTGATGTTTCTATCCCTCTCCCTCCCTGAAATAAGAATATATTTTTTAAAAAATAAAGTGGTATATCCTGGCTGAAAATTAGTGCAGGAAATAGCTTGACCCATTCCTGATATTTGGAAGCTCTTCATAGGAAGTTTTTCCATTCAACAAACATTTTTTATTTCATGACTAATTCATTACAAAATTTAATTTGTTAAAGTATGAGGAAAACTAAATAAAGGAATAGTGATTTAAACCACATGAATTGTGTTAGGTGACCACCTCCTCATCAGAGGATTGCAATCACATTTAAAAACCTCTCAGCTGCAGTTCACAGACTGCCTCATGGCCTTGCTGGCCCTTTGCACGGAGGCTGGAATGCAGAGGACTCCATGGCTGTTCTTGGATTGGTTGGTTTATTGTTTTAGCTGTGCTGCATCATCAGAGGTTGGGCCTTGAAAGACATTGAAAATCTGTTAGAAGCATATTTATATCTTCCAATCAGAGGCCAACCAAGCCATCACACCCCATGGCTATCACCTGCAGAGGGAGGTGACCATTGGCAGGGAATGGAGGGAGGAGCATTGCATAGCTGGCAAGCAGTGGCTGCGGTGGAGGTGGGGCCAGCTGTCTGCAGCCAGGGGAAGGAAATCCCCAATAGGCCTTGATCTCAGGCCAAGTCTAGGGACCCTTCCAGAGGGGTCCTGGATTGTGAGAGGGTGCAGGCCGGGCTGAGGGGACCTCCCCCAACCCCAGTGCACTGGACTTAAGTTTATAATTCTTTACCACTTTTGGCCTTGTGCATTCCTCCTTTGGTGACTCTAACACATACCAATAAGAAAATCTGAAACATTAATTGGATTTGATAAAATGAAGGCAATTAATTACATTATTAAGAGCAGTTTTAGTTAAGTGGGAGCAAAGAATGAAGTACAATTTCTATTAAAGCAGTTTGAGTAATAAGTAGTAAGATAGTGGACCATGATAAACTAAAGCTTTATCACAATAATACCAATTAAAAAACCCTTAAAAATGAGTATAAGCAGCAATGTGATTGGAAAAAAAAGAGATAAAGAGAATCACTACTTTTTGTGTATATTAGGCAAAGATAGCTTTTGTATATTGGATGTTTATTTACAGGAGGCTGACACCCACTAGCTCAAAGACCCCTGGTAGAAAACCAAACTTTATACATAAGTTGTTTTAAACATAGCCCAGACACATCCCCAGTAGGGGGTGTGCAAGAGGCAGCTGATCAATGACTCTCTCTCATCGATGTTTCCAACTCTCTATCTCTCTCCTTTCCTCTCTGTACAAAATCAATAAAATATATTAAAAAATATATGCATTTAAAAAAAATAAAAAATAAATAAATAGCCCAGATAAGCAGGCTTTTAGCCATTTAGAGCTTGCCTGCTTAACTTAAAACTATGCCCAAAGTCTGCTTGCCACAGACAAAATGAGCCTCGGGCTATAAAGATGCTAAGTTGCTGCTACCCTTTGGAATTTTCTGACCAAGCATTTCCCTGCCAGGCTGAATGCTGCAGTGTGACAACATACATAAGCCCCCGAGACACAAAACGCCCCCTCATGCTTCTCTACCCCAAGGGTTCCCTTGCCCCCTCCTGGATGGTGGCCCCCATGGCCTTAAGCCTCTGGATGGTCTCCCACTTAAGACTTCTGCAGACCTGGCAAAGCATTGCCCAAAGAGAGCTTGTGTGATAGTGCCACCTCGTGGCCATAGTTTTTTTTCTTGATCAGTCTTGAAATGTTCAAATTCACCTCCTTACATTACTCATAATAAAAGTAAAAACTCTCTAAGAAGATACACTGATCCTAAAATTGTAGGTACATAATAACACAAAGTTAATTAAACTACAGAAATTTAATTAGAAGGCAAAATTTTAGAGATAATTTACAAAAAGATAAATGGTTGCAATTCAATTTCAATACAAAATAGAAATAGAGGAATGTGTTTGGCACCCAAGGGATCCACTGGGAGATTGTTAGGTAACCTCTTCTTTAATTTTGATGGCTTGATTTAAGTAGACAAGTGCAGTTTGTGCATGGCATCCAACATTCATTGGAGGAGTAATGGTGACCTGGGCACAGACACCTCAGGGATGATGATCTGGGTTCATCCACCAGATAATTGACTGAGACTAGCAGAGGTGCTTGCTGAGGGTGAGAGGAATGTAGACCAGACAGCACATGGATAGCAAAGGAGGGAGATGATCAGTTGAGGGTGCAAGACCAGCTGCTGAGCTAAGGCACTGCAGTTCATTCCACTAATGTTCTTTCATAAATTTTCCCAGCAAAAGAAACCAACTAGAATCCTGGAGGAGCTTTTCTTAGATGCAGTGAAATCATATGAAGCAATAGACACAAATGGCACAAGGGGTGGACAGCAGTGTATTCTGTGGTGTATATAAAATGCCATCTTCAAGTGTTTTCTGTTGAGGGTCACAACCAAGTCCCTCAGATAAAAGGAACTGTGTTGCCCAAATTACACTTCCTCCCGAAGACAGTACACATCCAATGACTACTTGATGGGAGTTTATATTAATTGTTGCCAACAGACTATTAAGTAATAATGTTGTCAGTGAAAGAAAATGAAAACTTGAGTTAAATGAACTGCTGGGGAACTGGTGGTGAGCAGACAGAAATAATAATCATGTGGTCAGTGGGGGCCATTGAAATTCAGAGGTTACTCAAGCAAAAAACAACTGAAATAGGTGTCTATTTTGTATTAGGAAGCAATTCAGCCTGATGGATTACTTTAAATGTTCCAAGGGTGTTTACAGATTTATTTTATTCTTGAAATATGTAAATACTAAGAACACATTCTATTTTATATTTTTTAATTAAATTAACTTTATAATAATCATAGAAAAGCTCTGTAATCAAATCACATGTTTCTTCAGTCCTTGCTTCTGTGTAGTTTTCACATATTTTTATCTTTTATTTATTTATTTATATTTATTTTTACATGTTTTATTGATTTTTTTTTGCCCCCCTCCCTCCCTCTCACATATCCCCTCCCTCCCCAGAGTTTTATGTCCATTGGTTGTACTTATATGCATGTATACAAGTCCTTCGGTATTTTTATCTTTTAATTTTTGTCTCATGTAAGAAAATTCATTAGAAGAAGCAGGCATGACAAATGAACTTTTAATGAAGTGCTCATTATGACAATTTCTGTTTTATTTAGTTTGGATCATAGCGTGCAAGTAATCTGGGCCCCAGTATGTTAATAAGCAGAGCTCCATTTGGAGCTGTGATCAAGATAGCTAAAAATGCAATTGTCATCACATCCTTCGCATATCCTTCCAAGTGGGGTGAGCTGATTCTTGCAGTTTCTAGAGCCAGAGGACCTAACACAGCCTGCATTTGGGTGGTGGGTGGGTGGGGGAAGATGAGACATAATGAAAAATGTTAAGCAAAGTTAACATATAATAAAAGCAAATGACTGTTAAAATAAGCAAAACCTGGTACTAGGCTAGCGATTTTTAACCATTATGCTGCAATAATTTGTAAAACATGCAATACTTGACTATTTAGTCAGGGGCACTGATTTCTTTTCCCTTAGATTGTCAAATTAAAAAACATGACAACTGACAACACAATAGCTGTCCAATGTGAATGAATCAAAATTACAGCTATTCTTTTTTTGTCAAATTGGCAAAAAGGTAATACATTTTTTAGTGTGATACAGAATTTTAGTAATTAGTTTATGTAGATGAAAAAGGTTGAAAATAGCTGTACTAGACTATTAGAAAAGAGGTAAGACTTTAAAGTGCTGAGGGATTTTCATGAGTTATCATTAATGCTATATTCTTCTTAGAAAATATCTCTAGAGTAAGAGTGAAATAGTAACAAATGAGCATGCAGACATTTTAGGGAAGATTTTGTATTTTTGTCATCTCAGCTTTCCCCTATTTAAATATATATATTTTGAATGCTTGTATGACTCTCAAAACCTCTAGTTTTAACTGAACCACGGTTTTTGCTTATTTGCCTTTACCAAGTACCACTTGATTCTTGGCTGCAACAAGACAATCCAAATACGAAGGTTTCTTATGGTTCACTAGGATTTTGTTGATTATCCTACTTGGGAGGCAGTGTGATATAGTAAAACTGACAAGGAGTTTAGAATCTACAAACTGGGCACTGAGAGATTATGAACTAACTTGCCTAAGGTTATAGGCAAGTAATGTGGTATTCAAAACAGGCAGTCTGCTCTCTAACTAACTATGACATAGAGAATTTTGTTGCATGGAGGCTCACAAGCGTTTGTTTTGGAATAACAATGGAGAAAAGAATCTCAGGGAATCAAGATATTACGCAGCCAGGTAAAAAAGTCTAACAGTAGTAGTAATATAATACCTTGTTAGTAGGAGGGAGTATCATTGAATTAGAGGACAAACTACATCATTCATTCATTCATTGATTCTTGTAGGCATGTAAGGGTTATCTGTTGTGTGCTTTCTGCTTCCCCAGCACTGTGCTAAATGCTAGAGAAAAACAATGGAGGAAACCCTGGACATGGTTCCTATCCGTTCTGTGTGATCTAATGGGAAGATTCAGTCAGTAATCAAAAAATCATACAAAATGAATGTGTAATTAATAATAATATATGTACAATCATGTGTGGTGGAGGGGGTGGAAAGAGAAGATATATTTTAAAAAGAATCAATGTATCTCTATTTTAAAATCATAGTATTTAGCTCCACAATATTTAGCAATGTTCAGCCTACAATGTATCTCTATGACTATTCAGTCTGTAGGCTGATGCTCTAACCACTGAGAAAACTGGCTAAGGCAATTTTTTTTCCAGATATACTCTTATTTTATATTTTGGAATAATAGAAAACAATTTTTCATAAGTTAAGGAAGTAGTTAATTAAAATTTAACACTTTTTAATTTCAGAAGAATCGATTTTAAAACTGAGATTTTTAAAGATTACATTAATTTTAATGAATAGCTATGATTAATCAAGCATTTTAAAAATAAGACTAATAATGGTCCACATATTGTGATTGCACAAATAGCTATCATTTAGAATTTTTAATATTAAAATTTTCAATATTAAAATTATGAGAATGCCGGGACCGGTTTGGCTCAGTGGATAGAGCGTCGGCCTGGGGACTGAAAGGTCCCGGGTTCGATTCTGGTCATAGGGCATGTACCTTGGTTGTGGGCACATCCCCAGTAGGGGGTGTGCAAGAGGCAGCTGATCAATGATTCTCTCTCATTGATGTTCCTAACTCTCTATCCCTCTCTCTTCCTCTCTGTGAAAAATCAATAAAATATATTTTAAAAATAAATAAATAAATAAAATAAAATAAAATTATGAGAATGACTTAATATGTTCTTACCTGGACTGTAGCTTTGGGTATCCATGAGAAAGCAATAAATATTTTCTCCTTAAAATTAAAACCAGTAAAAGTCACCAAGAAAAATGTAGCAGAAATTCGAACCAATAAGGCCAAAAACAAACAAGCAATAGAAACACCTACAACAGATAAAAAAACAAATATAAATAACAAAATAGTTGGGAAGAAATGGTTTTTTGTCTAGAAATACAATCTGTAAAATTATTGAAAACTTTTTTTTTAAATATATTTTTTATTGATTTTTTACAGAGAGGAAGAGAGGGATAGAGAGTTAGAAACATCAATGAGAGAGAATCATTGATCAGCTGCCTCTTGCACACATCCCATTGGGGATGTGCCCGCAACCAAGGTACATGCCCTTGACCGGAATCGAACCTGGGACCTTTCAGTCTGCAGGCTGATGCTCTATCTACTGAGCCAAACCGGTTTCGGGCTATTGAAAACTGTTAAGACTATTGCCTCTTCCTGTCTTTATTTTTTAAGTAAATATAATAAAAAATACAAATATAATTGAGGCCTTTATGTAAAGCAGAAGTTGTTATCTGGTGGTGGAGATAACACAAAAAATAAATTGCATTTATTTATTTAATTCTGAGCTAACAGACTTCGAACTTTTACTACAAGTGAAAGTATCAAACAGGTGCTGATGGTATCTAATATTTCTCCTTGGGAAAAAAATTCTAATCTTCATTTCCTCAGGTCCCTTAGGGAAGATATGGGACTATCTTTGGTAACAAAGACCACACAGGGTAAAGAAGAACAAATGTATGTTACTGTCTCAACACAAGTTTCTGAAAAAGGCATTCAAAGACATATTATAAATAAAAATAAATATTATTCAATATTTTCAACTCATATTTTTTGTGCTTATAATCATTATTACCAATAGCATCTGATTTAAGAGCTGCAACAGATACTTCCAATCCAACCAAACCAAAAAGAAGGGGTTGAAAAATTTCCCATGCAAATGTAATAAGTTTTTGGACTCCAATCTAGAAAAGAGCAGTATATTTTTAGTTACTGTGGCACATAAAATAACTGCATTTCAGAAACAGAAAGTCTATTTTATTACATACAATTAAGATATTTATTTGTAGGAGGAATGTTAAACAATAAAACTTGAGTTGGTTCATTCTTTTACTCAAACACTTGGGTAGAATTTGACTAAAAGAAATACCAAAGCTACAGAATAAAAATATTTGGTAACTGTATCATGAAACACGTAAGGTCTTTGGAGGCCCAGACACATTCTGATGGTTCAGAAAGAGTCTATCATAGCTTTTGTTTGCAAGGCAACAGAATGGAGATAGAACTACATCAGACCCAATGAGAACATACTCAAGATCAAGAAAACAGTTTAGCTTTCAACATGAAAGTGAATCCCAATAGTCTTAAACTATGAGGGGGGGAAATTTGATAATCTGTTAGGCTGTTTTGGAAGGACCCATTTTGAAAACTTCAGTTATTTTTTTTCCCCCTTAAAGCCAAACCCAAAACATATAATTTTTTTAAAATTAATTTATTTTTAGAGAGAGAGAGGAAGGGAGGGAAAAATATTGACTTGTTGTTCTACTGCACTTATTGTTTCTCATATGTGCCCTGAACAGGGATCGACCCATAACTTAGGCATATCAGGAGGATGCTTGAACTACTGAGCTACTTGGTCAGGGCAAAACATATAGATTTTTCTTGGTTGCTTGACAGGCTTCCCTTTCTGGGAATGAATCTCTCCCAGTTCTATCTGCCAGTGATGTGGTTACAGCAAAGACCCTGTGGACATAACAGTGCTGGCTCTTCTCCAGGAACTTGGATGAAGAGTTTCAGCCTAATCTGAGTTCATCTTTTTATTTATTTTTTAAAAATATATATTTTATTTATTTTTTTTTTTTACAGAGAGGGAGAGGGATAGAAAGCTAGAAACATCGATGAGAGAGAAACATCAACCAGCTGCCTTCTGCACACCACTCACCAGGGATGTGCCCGCAACCAATGTACATGCCCTTGACGGGAATCGAACCCGTGACCTTTCTGTTCACAAACCGACGCTCTATCACTGAGTCAAACCGGCTTTGGCTGAGTTCATCTTTTTTAAATAGAAGATACATAACACTTTGATCTCCTTTGTTTGGGGCAGGAACTATCTAACTATTTCTTTTATGTCTGGATTTTCTGGTGGCCATTTATAGTAAGAGTGAAATTTAAAAGAGGGGAAAAAAAAACAAAAAACCCACCCACAATATTACTCTACCTTGCTTATAGCACATTTTTCTATTTGTTACTTTTCATCTTTACAGTTTATTTTCTTATTGTTAGATTTCCTTTATCACATAGAAAGATAATTCTAATATTTTCATTTTATTTAACTAGAGGCCTGGTACATGACAATTCATGCACTGGAGGGGGGTGTCCCTCGCCCAGCCTGACCCCTCACAGTCTGGGAGCCCTACGGGGTAGGGGGGAAGTGACCTGGTGATCAGGGGAGAGTGACACCCCATCACACCTTTGCTGCTGCCACTGCTGGCAGCACAAGCCTTAGTCAGACCTGGTTACCTAAGCCTCTGGTGGCTCTGGGTGGTTGGGCAGCCACCATCCGAAGCTTGCCTGCACCTCAGGTGTCAGCTAGGCGGCCACCATCCAAGGCTTGCCTATGCCTCAGGCTGGCCCTAGATGGTTGGGGACTGAGGAGACTGGGGGACTCTGGAGGCAGGCACGTGGAGCGGCTGGGCCTGCCTGGGAGCGGTGTGGCCTTGCCACATGCCTGCTGCCCTGGTGGGGATGAGGGGACTGGGCACTGCTATCTTGTGGCTGTGGGTGCCGCCATATTTGAGGGTATGACAGTCAATTGGCATGAATTCCCTCCTTATTGGCTGTGGGCATTGCCATCTTTTAAAAAATTATTTTAATTTTTTAAAAAATTTCTTTGATTATGGTATCACATAATTGTCCTCATCCCCCCATTCCCATCCCAAACCCCTCCTCATATATGCCCCCATTCCTCTGTTGTCCATGGCCACTGGTTAGGCTTATATGCATGCACACAAGTCCTTTGGTTGATCTCTCCCCCTTTCCCTCACCTTCCCCTCCCTTCCCTCTGAGGTTTGACAGTCTGATCGATGCTTCCCTGTCTCTGGGTCTGTTTTTGTTAATCAGTTTATGCTGTTCATTACTTTCCATAGATGTGTGAGATCATATGATACAAGAAATATACTTATTAAGAACCGAAAATGAGACAAGCCATAATGATTATGCTGAGAGGCAAATGAATCAGTCTGTAGTGAGTTTCTTTCTGGGCCAACAGTTCTTTTGAGACCCAATTTCAATGTTAAACAGTTCCTTATGTGTATATGTCAGCAATGGTATTTCACTTCTGGATGGTGGATAAACGGTGGTGCCCGACCATCTCTGGTTTGGTCCAGGCCATCCTTCAGTGATGCACAGCTGCTGTTTGCTAGTATGGCAAGGCATTGTTAGCATATTCCATCTCTGGAATGGGTGGTCAATTAGCATATAACCTCCTTATTGTCTGTGGGCACCACCATCTTTGTGACAGCGTGAGGGTCAATTAGCATATTCCCTCTTTATTAAATAGGATTATAATTTATTATTAACTATTTTTTAATAATTATAATTTTATTGGAATACTAAACAAAATGCCAGTATAACTTTTGGGTATGAAACTTCTCAAGCTGGAGAGACAAAATGGTGGAAGACTAGATGGATGGGTTCTGAGCCTTGTCCCAAAGCAGAGAGAGAGAGCAGCTGAGGGTCGTGCTGGGAGCAAGCTAAGAGACAGGCAAACTCCAGGAGAAGGTGGGGAGCTGCTGATCAGGGTGCCCCTGACAGGGAAGCACCCACGGTGGGGCTGGGTCCTCTCCTGGAGCTACTTACGGGCTTGGACAGGGAAATCTCGCCATCTTTAACAGAAAAGTGGATCTTGGAGGATCCAAGATGGCTGCTCAGGTAGACACCTAACCGCAGCAGCGCACAACAAATTTCAATGGAATACAACTAAAATGTAGAGTGGACATTACAGGTAGTTGACTGACTGAAAATTCTACAAGAAGGAAAGAGAAAACCAGAAGGAAAATCAGAGGAGCTGAAAAATCCTAAGGTACAGAGACATGCTGCGCGCATGCACGCATGGAGAGGATGCAGCCGGAGAGGAGGAGAAGGCTGGGTGCCTGCCTGGCGTTCCCTAGCAGGAAGGAAATAAAAACCCCGGCCTGGGCTGAACCCCAGAACCGGCAGCGCTGAGCCCGTTATGGGCCAGACCCTGGTGACCCAGGCTCGGGCAGGGGGAGATGGGGCTGTGAGGCGGAATCCCAGGGGAGCGGCAAAAAGCAGAGTCGTGCACATTGCGCGCAGAGGACGGAATGTTGACCCTGATGCTGGATTGCCCTGGTGTGAAGAAACAAAACCTCCGGCAGTGCTGAGCCCCACTCCCGACTGCTCTGAACCCCAGTTCTAGGCCAATCCCTGGGGATCCAGGCTCAAGAAGAGGGAGACTGGGCTGTGAGGTGGAGTTCTGGGGGAGCGGCGAAAGCGAGCCCCCGGAGTCACGCACATTGCGCGCAGAGGACAGTCTGTTGACTCTGATGCTAGATGCCCCTAGTGGGAAGGAGAAAAAAAGCTCCAGATTGGAGGAACGCGACGAGGAGCAGGAGCCCCTGCCGAACACAGACCAGCCGGGTGCCAGCAAGGAGCCGGGCAACGGGGCCCCTATGGGGGTGGGGGGGTGCCCCTGGGCCTTCGACCGCTGAGCGCGGGCAATGGAGCCGAGGCCGGGGGCTGCTTCCTGGGCGGCGCTGACCCAAGCAACAGGCTGAAGCAGCACAGGAGCCCACGGAGAACAAAGGGGTGCCACAGGCCAATCTGCTGAGCTCCCAGGACAAGGAGGAAGAAACTGAAGAAGTTTTCAATGTGAAGAAATCAAGTGAGAACAAAAGACAGTAAAATTACTTAAGAAAGAATACAAAGAAGATCTTGAAAAATCGAAGACTAAGTCAGAACTCAACTCAGCAGCCAACATTGCAACATAAAAGCTTTTTTTTTTTTAGTTTTTTTTTTTTTTAAAAGGACAGAATGTTGAACGGCGGCGGCCAGGCCTAGAGTGGCCAGGCACAAGGCAGTGGCAGCCGGGCCTGGAGTAGCAACAGCCAGGCCCCAGAGCAGCAGCAGTCAGAACCAGAGCAGCAACAGCCAGCCCTGGAGCAGCCAGACCTGGGGCAGTGGCAGCCAGGCCTGAGGCGGAGGCAGCCAAGCCCAGGGTGGCCAGTCCAGGAACACCCAGGCCCGGAGTGGCTGGGCCCGGAGAAGCCGGGCCCAGAGCAGCCGGGTCAGGAGCAGCCAGACCCAGAACATCAGCAGCCAAGCCCGGAGCATCCAGGCCGGGAGCTGCCAGGCTCGGAGCGGCCAGGCCCAGGGCAGCCGGGCCCAGAGCAGCCGGGTTGGGAGCAGCCAGGCACAGAGCAGCAGCAACCATGCTTGGAGCAGCCAGGTTGGGAGAGGCCAGGCCCGGAGGGGCTGGGCTGGAGCAGCCGGGTCCGGGTGCGGCCAGGCCCGGAGCAGCAGCAACCATGCCCGGAGCAGCCAGGTCGGGAGTGGCAGTGGCCAGACCCGGAGCAGCTGGTTGTGGAACAGACCAGAGCAACAGAGGCCAGGCCCGGAGCAACCAGGCCTGGAACAGCTCACTCCTCGCCTGCCTCCGCCCCAAAGCTGCTTCTCAGACATGGCTGGAAACTTTTGTGAGAACTTGAGGGTCTGCTGAATCAAGTGATGAAGGCTTAGATCTGGATGTGTTGAGTTAGTATAGCGCTGGAGTGTTGATCTGTGAGTGCCTTGGGTGGGGCCTGGATGAGGTTGGTTGATCTATTCAATATTTGGAAATGTCTTTTGTGTGAAGTGTATCCTTGGGCATGTGGAGGTATTATTGATTTGAGAAAATGCTATGTAACTGATTTACTATCTGAAAAATTTAAAGTTCTGAAAGTTT